TAATTTTATGGTTGGGGTCACCACACCATGAGAAACTGTATTAAAGCCTTACAGCATTAGGATGGTTGAGAACCACTGATTTAGAGGTACTACCAAACTGTTTCTCAGAGCAAGTACACCATTTCTGTTCCCATCAGTAATGCCTGTGAACCAGTTTCTCCATATCTTTGCCAAACTTGCTGTTGCCTGTTTGACAGGTATGCCAGTCAGTGTGTGGTGACACAGGTTTAAGGCTCAAAAGAGTTTTACTAATGATTAGTTTTACTAATAATGGTGTGTTTATTGGCCATATGCGTATGTTCAAAGAGAAACCATCTATTAGCCATTTTTTTTTATTTTAATGGCATGGTTTTATTATCAAATGGCAAAACTTTTGTACATATCTAGAAAGAAGTCAGATGTTAGAAATAATTAGCAAATATGCTCTCTCATTCTGTTGTTTTATTTTTCTTTGAATCTCAAAAGATTTTAAATAGTACAGTACAGTTGTTTTTTTCTTTTGTGCTTTGTGTTTGCAGTGTGATCCTGAGACTCTGTCATCTACCTTAGAGTCATCAGGATTTAGGGCAAGTTTTCTTCCAAAAAAGTGTAAAGACTTGGTTCTTGTATTTAGTTCTGTGATCCATTCCAACTATTATGGGAGTTTGTCTTCCTTTTTATTTATATTTGTTTGAATTTTGTTTTGCACATGATCTGAGGTGAGGCTCTAACTTTATTCATTTGCATACAGTCATTCAGTTTCCCCAGCATCATTTGTTGAAATGACTATTTTTCACCATTCCATTTTCTTGGCACCCTTTTCAAAAATAATTTGACCATATGTTTGTAATTATGCCAGTACCGCCCTATCTTGATTATGTAGCTTTGCAGCAAGGGTGGAAATCAGAAACTAGTAGGCAAGATTGTTTGGTTATTCTGGGTCATTTGAAGTTCTGCCCTGGATTTAACTTTGGTTTTCCAATTTCTTCCAAAACTCCAGTAGAGATTTTGATGGAAATTACACTGAATCCTCAGATCACTTTACAGAGTCTTGCTATGTCAACAGTGTTGAGCCTTCCCATTCATAAGCATGCAATGTCTAGTTTTAAAATCCTTTGGTTCTTTTTTTCAACCACTTTATTTTTCATACTACAAGGCTCACACTCCTCTAGTTAAATTTTTCTTAAGAATTTTATTTTTATAATGGTTTTATAAATAGAACTGTCTTAAGGAACATAATATAAGTAATTGATTTTTTGTGTATGGTCTTAATTATTGTAGACTTGCTAATCTTTTTCTGAGCTCTAAGTGTGAATGTGTTTGTATATGTTTGGGGTTCTCTAGATACAGGGTCATGTAATCCACAAATAGAATTCGATTTATTTAGTTTCTCCCAATTTTCATATATATCATTCTTTTTTTTTCCTGCTTAATTTTCTAAGCTGGAGCCTCCATTAAAATGTTAAGACAAGTAGTGAGACTAGACATTCTTGTTTCCTTCTTGATCTTAGGTTAATATTCATCCTTTGGTTACTAATCTTAACTATTTTTAGTAGATGTTCATTATCATATTGTGGAAACCTGTTTTTATTCCTAACTTGATGAATGATTTTTTATCATGAAATATGGTCATATTGTCAAATGATCTTGAGATAATTATCTTTTTCATCTTTTATTCTATGACTAGTATATTTAAACAAGCATTTAAGGATCTTACAAAAACCTTGCCTTAAATGAATAAATCCTGTTTGGCCATGGTGTATAATGATTTCAATATGTATCTGTATTTGATATGCTAGTTGAGTATTTTTGCAAAAGGAAGATTCAACTACCTTTGTGTGTTTGTGTGTGTGTGTGTGTGTGTGTGTGTGTGTGTGTGTGTGTGTGATGTTTGTATTTACTTTAAATACCAGGATAATGCTGGACTTATAGGATAGAATAGAAAATTCATTTGAAGTCATCTATTTTGAAAAAGTTTGTAGTAATTTTTCCTGAAATTCTTGGTGAATTTTACCAGTGTGACTTGGATTTGTATTTTGGAGAAGTTTTAATATAACTTCTATCATTTTAAACATGATTATCATGCTCAGAATTCCAGGTATTAATTAATCATATTCAGAAATTGATCTTTTTATTTATGTTTATTTTTGAGATTGCATTTTAATCACAATGTCTTCCCTTCCCTTTCCCTTCTCCAAGCCCTCCCATATATTCTTCCCAGCTGTCCTTAAAATCTATGACCTCTTTTTATATCCATTGTTATTGCATTCATATATGTATACACAAACATGGCTTTCAAAGAGTGTATTTCATCCAGCATATCTAATTGTAGGTGTTAACTACAATAGTGTTTTCATAATCCTTTTAACTTCGATAAGTTCAACAGAAATGGCCCTTCATTCCAGTAACCAGAATTCTTTTATTCTGCACTCATTGTATCTGAAACTTGTGAATATCATTAGCATTTTCAAAGAAGCCCATATTCCCTCCAGTTTTTTTTTTCATTCCCAGTTTCCCAGGTACCTCTTTGTCTTTCTCATTATCTGAGAACTATTTATATCTCTGAATTCAAAAGATAATGTTTTCCAAAACTGAGACTCTTTTATGTTTGATGAGATTATGTAAACCTTTTGTACTACATGCTTTTACTGACATAGCATAATTAAGCCTGGTATTTAGACCAGGTATTTATTGGGTTCTATGTCTCATGCAGTTTATGTTTCTTTATTAAATTACTCTAAGTGGAGCAGATTATTGTATAATACTTGATATTGTAATAAACATTTTACGTATTTGAGTTGTATTAGTGGTTGTTCTAAGAGTTATAATTCACATAATAACTTAGACTCTTATGTCAGCCCCATTCAGATGTAAGTCCCATAAATTGTAGTAGACTTGTTTTTGTGTAGTTGCATTTTTCCCTATATTTTTCTTAGTTCTTATCACACATATGACCTGCAGTCCACACAGTGAAATAATAGGTTGTCCTAAACACAACTCCATGCGATAGTACTGTCTTAAAGACTGAAAAAATAAGAGCATATACATGTATGAGATTTGTTATAGTTAGTCCTTTAGTTCTTTGCTCTGATTCTACTTTTTGTTACTGAATTTAAAATATTTAGTGGTTTCCTTACTTCAGAATGACTATATTCCTAATGACTGCTTTGGGCTCCTTTTTTCAAAGAAATTACATTTGCATATGCCCATTTGATGTTTTATGCAATTAACTGCCCAATCATTCAAAAGGGAGCACACAGTTATTCTGTGACTGTACATAATTATTTCATAGGTACCCCTTTTTCTCATGACCTGAGTTATTGTTTAGTGCTACTTAATTTTAATCTGAAGAACTTTTAATAACAATTTTAAGTTTGGTCTACTAGACACTTTTTTTTTCAGTTTTCACTTGGTAAGTCTTAGCTCCACTCTTATTTTTGAAGTTGTTTTCCTACATATAATTTTTTTCATAATTTTTGCCTTTAATGCTTTGAATATGTCACCCTGCCTTTGGGGGTTTTTATTTCTGTCAAGCAGTCACTTGGATGCAATGATTTCTGAAACTATTGACTTTTTTTTTTTTTGCCTTTATTCGGTATTATGCTGTGTCATGTCTGGAGGGTGTGTGTGTGTGTGTGTGTGTGTGTTGTCTTGTGTGTGTGTGTGTGTGTGTGTGTGTGTGTGTGTGTGTGTGTGTGTGTGATTGAGGTACTTGTTTAACATTAATTTTGTTGAAGTTTTTGATTATACATGTGAGTGACATTGTGGATGGGAATCTGAAATGTCCCTTAAATGGACACGAACCTCCATGTTAAAGGGCTAGGTGCCAGCCCATGAGTGGTAGCACAGGGGAGCAGTGAGTGGTAGTACCCGATGCAAGGTTTCTGAGGACACACCCTTACAGTGGGTACTAGGAACGGTGTGCTTTCTCTCTGGCTGCCCTTCTCTTTGCTTCCTGCACACTATGAATTGGGAAGCTTTTCTGTGTCACACACTCCCAGACATGATGTTCTTCCTTGCCACAGGTCCCAAAGAAACAGCACTATGAACTGAAAACCCCAAGCAGCACTAACATTTTTTGTCTTTTAAATGATTTGTCACAGAAAAAGAAAGCCAACACCAATGTATGAAGTTTTCAATTTGTGTCTGATTATCTTGTCTATGTTTTTTTCAACTCCTTTGGTACTAAGCATATGCTGACATGTTTAATTTTGTTTCACATTTCTCTGTGGCTTGTTTAATGTCAATTCAATTTTTCTCTCTCTAGAGAGACAGACAAACAGACATTAAAATAAAAAGTCTCTATTTCTGTAAAAGCTGTGTATATCATAATTAATATAAAGTACTGACTTGTAGATGCTGTGGATGATTGATTGATAAATAAAACACTGATTGGCCAGTAGCCAGACAGGTAGTATAGGTGGGACTAACAGAAAGGAGAATTGAGGGAACAGGAAGGCGGAGGGGGATGCTGCCACCCGCTGCCAGGACAAGGAAGATGTAAGATACTGGTACGCCACAAGTCTTGTGGCAACTTATAGATTAATAGAAATGGGTTAATTTAAGATGTAAGAACTAAATAGCTAGAAGCCTGAGCCATTAGGCTAAAGAGTTTAAATAATATAAGAGTCTGTGTGTTTATTTTATAAGTGGGCTCCGGGACTGGCGAGGCTTGGTGGGAGCTGGAGAGAAACTCTCCAGCTACATGTAGATATTGATTTTTGGTGGTAATTTTATCATTTGTGATTTATAAATTCCTTTAATGACTTACCTAAACTAATTCCATGCAATGTATTTTACCTTCTCTGGGAAGCCTCTCATGTTGCCATTTAATTTTTCTTTATAATTTTTCTTTAAGCTTCTTTGCTAATGGTCAATATATGCTAGTTACTTGTCAAAGAAATAATTCTCTTTATCTGTTCTTTCTTATTGTTATATTGCCTTTATTTAGTTAGTTTTGAGGTGGGTTCTCACTATGTACCCGTGACTAACTTCCAACTTATGGCTTCTCTCCTCTCCAGTCTCTCAAGTTCTAGGATTGCAGATGTGAAACACAAATCAGCAATTAGATGTCTACCCTAAGTGAGTACATATGTTTTTTGGAGACTCCTGCCAACATTCTTTGATTCTAAGCAACTTCCTCTTTCCCGTATCTAACACAGACAGGTGCAGCAGTTCAGAGTTTCCCTGACTGAATCATCTGAAAGGGAACAACATTAGGCAGTGACATGGTCTTTTAGACTTTTCAGGATGTATGTGATATGATTTTAATCAGGGATTCACAGGGGTCACCCTGAATGGAGCAGCTTATGTTTCTCTTGGTTCAGCCAAAAGTTATATTGAAGCCTATCTCATAGTCAGACTTGAGAAATGTGCTAATTTTTGAGAGGTTTGGCAAATGCTTTCATTCCCACTTCTCCTCCTACAATGACTGTTGCTTAGAAAGAGCATTCTTACCTCTCAGTACATGGTCACAGGTTTTCCAAACACTGCATTTTTCTGTAATCCCAAGAAGGTCTTATCTGTTTCCATATTCCTGCTAAATTTCTGTCAGCTTTGCCCTCTTGTGTATATCAGTACTCCAAACATCTCCTCCTTGGGGCTTGAGATAGCATCCTTATGTCTTTTTCCCTAGGATAAACCCCAAAGATAATTATTCTTTTATAAAAAGAGAATCCTTTGTTTTTATTTTACAATAATATATATGCTTCATTCAAGAATGGAATAGCTTGGTAAAACACAGATATCGAAAGCAACATTCAGGCTTGGCTTATTATAAAATTTAGACATAATTTAAGAGTCCTGGCTCAAGGAAACTGTTTACAAGGAGGCAGTCTATCTCGCTGGGTACCCCACATTAACTCTTTTAATAACAGGTTATTTGGCAACATCTGAACTTTAACCCTCTTTGTTGACAGAATCCTCAGCCTCAGTGTGTAGATTCAGCTGAAGAAAAATAATTTACACAGCTGAGAAAATAATTTCTTGTCTAAATTTCTAAAAGCCTTCCTAAGGAAGACTCCCCGGAGAAGGAAGAACAATAGGTTGTCCCCCTGCCTTGTGGCCTACAACTTCTTTGAGTTTGAAAACACTAAAAGGTGTGCTACTTTGGAGGGTTTTTGAGACATAGTTTGAATTTTTAATCAATCATTGGCAATCCAGGTCTAATATATTCAGGAAATTTCTTTAAAAAGTAAAAAGGAAATGGAAGAATTTACTTTTTCTCTAAGAATGAGTATCATCAACTCATTATATACATATATACTTATATATATATGTATATAGTATATTTTCTTTATGCATCCTTCAATGGGTAATTAGGCTGGTTCTGTGTCATAGGTACTATAAATAATACCAAACTGAACATAAGATTTAAAATTTTAATCAACATTGAATAGATTTTGAGTGCCATGTAATATAAGAATTTAATTTCATTATTTTATCTGTGGCTATCTAGTTTTCTCAATGCTATGAGACAGTGTGGATAATGCTGGATAATACTAAGATGAGTAAAATACAGCATGATGTCACTTATTTTTGAAGTCTCTAAAACAGTCAAAATCAGAAATAGTGGCTACAATGGTGTATCCCGGAGCTACAGAAAGGGATAAACTGGGAGTCACTTACTGTTCAATGAGTTGATATGAAATGTAACTGATATAAAATGAAAATGTTACTGAGACCTGCTATGAACATTATGTATGCAATAAACAGAACCATACTGTAAGTCTGAAAACTTATCATGTGATAGTTGCATGTTAAGTATTCAGAGCAACATTAAACACATATGTTAATAACTATGTAAGCAAATCGACAAACAGCAAATAATAAGATGAAGTATAATGCTATTTGGCCTAGAAAAGTTGCTTTCATCAATTTCTTATCTGCAAATCTATGAATTTTGTCAACTCTGAATGAGACTGGAAAATGTTATCCAGTCTGAGATGAGAATGTGGAAGCAGCTGACACATTGATGTTATTTGAGACCCAGGCAGAACACTTATCCAATCCATGCCATGACCACTGACCCATGGCAATGGTGAGGCTGTATATTTGTATTATTTTAAGCTGCTAAAGTTGTAGAAATCTGTTGTATGGCAGAAAATTATTGCATTATTTTCCATGTAATGGAATACCACATTGCTAAGGGCAGTATTGTTTATGTGCATTTTCTAAGGTTTCTGTGTAATCTTATCCATAAAAAAATAGTCATTTGCCTGCATAAAAGTCACTCACATAAAAGAAAATTGCCAGAAGCTTATGTGTAAAGTTTTCATAATGTATGACAACTTGGGTGGTTTATGAGACCATGTAGACAGCCATGTACAATATAAACACCTCAGGCTATACAAAACAGTGAGAACTGGATCACACTAAAACTTTAGCACAGCCAGGAAAACAATCAATGGTGAAGAGACTGCCTATAGAGTAGGAGAAAAATTTTGCAAATCATAGACAACGTGGTATTCATACACACCTATATCATATATTTGCATGGATACAATTGTGGCAATTTTTTATTTGTGCACCCCAATAAAGCTTATCTGAAGATCAGAAGAAAAAGCCAGTCATTAAACATAGAAGTCAGATAACACATGCCTTTAATCCTAGCATTTGGGAGGCAGAGATCCATTCAGATCTCTGTGAGTTCAAGGCCACATGGGAACAGAGCCAGGTATGGTGGCATACACCTTAAATTTCAACACTAGTTAACCATAAAGGTCTGGAGGTCTATACAGACAGACAGGAAGTGACAGAGCTGGGCAGGAAGAAGTGATGTAGCTGACTGAGGAGAGGAAGTGAGATTGCAGGGACAGAAAGGCTTATAGACATGGGTATACAGGAAGTAGGTCTCTTTGGAGCCTGAGGTATCAGTAAAGTACGGTTGACTATGCCTTGTCCTATTCTTGGTAATCCTTTGTTTTGTGTCCTGCTTGTCCATTTTGGACAGCATACTGTCAGCAGTGATGTGAGAGGACTTTTTTGCCCAGTGGCTAATTTTTGCCCCAATGAAAGTAAACTCTATATGGAGTTTCTTCAATGTCCATCATGTTCTCTGAAGTAGATTGATGCTGCCAGGAGTAGACATGTCTCATAGTCATAAAAAAAGAAAAAAAACCTATGTTATTAAAACATCTTAAATGCCATATTCTGTAGATCTCTGAAGTGTTTGCAGATGACCTATCTATCTAAAATATATCTCTGTTTGACATTGAAAGCATACCTAATATGACTACAAGTTTGATTGTAATGACTAACTACTAACTTAAATTTCTTTTTATCCTAAATAGTTGGTAATAATAACTTTCAAGGATTAGCAAATTACATTACATTGCTGAATGAACTGTATAGGTACAATACCTTGAACAAGATTAGAAATATATATATATATATATATATATATATATATATATTACTATATAAAATATATAGTATTTTCTAACAAAATCAATCTCAAATTTGTATAAATATACATAATTTGTATACAAAATAGAAAATCCAATCTAATGTAAAATATTTAAAACTAGCAGTTGCTTTCTAAATGTAGATTCAATAATCTACCATTTTATCTTATCATATCTATATAAGTCAATCTCAAATTTGTAGCAATATACACAATTTGTAAACAATATAGAAAATCCAATCCAGTGTAAAACAAGTAGTTCTTTTATAAGAGTAGATTCAATAATCTACCTTTTTATCTTACCATTTCTATATCTTCCCTTTTTTCTTTCCAGAGTAGATTCAATAATCTACCTCTTATCTATATCCTCTTTTTACTTTTACTTTTTCTTTTTTGTAAAACAAGAACCCTGAATCTAATCTTCTTTGTTTGGGTTTTTTTTTCCTGACCATTAATGATTAACAACTTGTAAGCAACAATCACAAACAATGACAATTATCCAAAACCCATAGAATGACCAAAAACCACACACTCCAACTCTTGGGAATGTGGGTGTCGTGTTCTTAAAATTACTTCCTGCTGTCTAGGGTCAAAGGCATCTTTAGAGGATCCTGAAAAGAAAAAATTTGAGTTAATTGTCATGTCCTGGGAGAGGTAGCTGTATCATTTGTTGTCCAGTCTCTGCATAATGCAAAAGTGTAGGGCTTATCTCAAGTCCTTGCTTGAGTAGTCTGTGAAGCTGAATCATCTCAGCTAGCCATCTCAAAATTGCCCTGAGTAGTTTGTAATCCAAAACTGATCTTTGGGTGGTATTAATCAGTTTAATGGCTTTATTAAGTCCATGTGGAAATCATCGTTGTAGGATCCTATCATCATTTTGGAGATTTCAAAGTCACTATTAGGTATGGTCATGGTTCACTGCAGAAATTTTTTTTTTTGTGCCTCCTCTGTGGTTTTTTTTTTTTAATTAATAAGACCGTTTAGTAATTTGTCTTACATACAATAGAAATAATTAATTTTTAACATGCAATTATTTACTTTTATAACAACATAATTGTACATTGAGGACAGAAGTATAACATTCTAATTATAAAAGTACAGTTATATCATCATAAATATGGAAAAAATTATCCATATATAATCTCTTGATTTATATGGAAACTAGGCCATTCATACCTATAATTTTATAGATCTCAAGGAAGCATTTTTATACTATAAAAGACTGAAAACATGATCCAACAACAAACAAAAGAATCTACTCTCTCACTGTTCTCTTCCATATTATAGACCTGTGCATCATGTTTTCTCATGATATGGACAACAAATTATTTACTAATACTAACAAAAACTAAGATCTAGAAGAGTATTATTCTAAGTATAAATTAGAACACAAAGTTTATCTAAGAACTATAAATATTGAAAATATAACTTATAAATAAAAATTTAAAATTATAAATTGTATTTATCTGACAAACACATGCTATGTAGTACACGATAAAGGATTTTATATTATATAAAAAATACAGATTGAACAGTAAGTAAATGAAAATTAACTGTCAAAATATAGTATACTAATTAACTTTGTATTCCCATTACCCAATACTTGACAGAAACAACTTAATGGAATAATAACATACTTTATTCATGGTTTCATAGGACCTGGCCCATTGCCAATTTT